AACTGTGCAAACCGAAGAGGCATCGAGTGCGATCCAGCTTGGCTTTATCCACTCGCGTCATGAATGACTAGAACCGCCTTCCGGAGTCCATGGTCGACGCCGAGACCGAGGAAGGTTTCAAGCATTTGTTGGATTCTAATTTTAGTTTGCGGAGATCCAGCTGTTTCCAATGCAGCTTCTGTGGTTCTCTGTGGGACCCTGTTCCGCAATGGCCCGGGCTATCTCCGCAACGATCGGGAATTGACGGAGCTGTAAAAGAACCTTCCTTCTGCTCTCTATCATCAAATGACCCTGATGGGCTACTCAAGTTTCAGATGTTTTCGCTGCACTATAAGCGTCTCTGGGGCGACCTGGTTCTTACGTACCGTATATTGGCTGGCAAGATTGGGCCTGATCTAACTCGGCTGTCCCATCCGGCTCAGACGCCACCTCTTCGTGGTCCCCTTCTGAGGCTGCATAAGCCCAGATCCGATCGTGTTAGAACTGACTTCCATTTATCAAGCAGGGTCATCGACTCATGGAACACACTATCCAACGAATTTGTGTTAGCACCAACGGTGAAATAGTCTGAACATCGACTCGACGCCCTCGGGTTGCAGTTTAAGACCTTCCTGTTTGGTTCTTCATCATCATCATCATCAACAGCAGTACATCAGCCATTTGAACTGATGCTTCGCTGCCATACAACCATGAGGACCTATGAAATAAAGAATAAGAAGAGGGAGAGAAGGGGGACTTACCTGAAAACCTTAATGCCTTAAGCAAACATTCAGGGTCAAGGCGCCTACACCTTGTGTAGACAACATACCGTCACAAACAGCTGGCTATCGTGCAAAGATAAGGCGGCATCGGCGAGACAGCTTCCTTGCGGCTTTCACTGCCACGCGTCATAATCAGCCATTACCCCCGCAGATAACTCAGCACCAAACACACTTTAAACAGACAATCCGATTAGGAGACGGCAGCAGACGCGCCACTGGTGTCGGTTGCGAGCCATGTCCTGTAGTCTCGAGCCAAGCACAAGGTGAGTCACGTGGACTCCAACCCGGAAGGCGAGACGGACCAACGGCACCCAGTTTGGTCGTCAGTGACTTCATTTCCCGCTGCCAAGTCAACTTCTGTCCACCTCGAGCCTTGTGCCATCCGACACCTGGTAGACTGAACAAGGCCCTCCTAGGTAAGCGGTGAACAGGCATGCGTAGCACGTGCCCGAGCCAACGTAACTTATTCAGTGCTATCTGTTGTTCTAGGGAGCTAGCATGATCATCACCACCTAGTACTCGCCTACGCACATCATCGTTGCGGACACGCTGGTGCCATCCGACACCAGCAATGCTTCGCAAACAACGATGATCAAAGACTTGAAGGCGCCTCAGATCTTCAGACCGAAGGGGCCAAGTTTCACTACCATACAGCAGAACGGCCCTCACTGTGGCCTTGTATACACGGCCTTTCAGACGGAGGGAAACTCCCTTCTGTCGCCAAAGATGACGCAGGTTCAAGAAGGCAGCTCTAGCCTTTGCAATGCGTGAGCTCACGTCAGTTTCTATGCGCCCATCATTGCTGATGCAGCTGCCAAGGTAAGTGAATTGATCAACCACCTCGAGTTCCTCGTTAGCAAGCGTCAAGGGGTCATCGAGTGGCTGGTGGTCCTGCAGCAACACTTTGCACTTTGAAGGTGCGAAGTGCATACCAAATAATGGGACCACTCTGGATAGGCTATTCAGGGTTGATTGTGCCGCCTCAACATTGTCGAAAAGCAAGACGATATCGTCCGCATAATCTAGATCAACTAACCGTTCACCAGGCAGCACTTCAACACCTACATCGTGAGATTCCGCAAGGGAACACTCCATGATAGAATCCACGACGAAATTGAACAAAAATGGGGAAATCGGGCAACCCTGACGAACGCCACTTGTAGTCGAAAAGCTATCCGATAGGGCACCATAGACCCTGACGCGGCCTCTAGTGTTCGAGTATAGAGCACGAAGGATGTTCACATATTTCGTGGAAACACCTTTCCGCGCAAGTATTTCGAACAGAATCGATCGATCGACTGAATCGAACGCACTTTTGAAATCGAGGAACACAGCTATTGTCGGTCTGCGGTATGCGTGGCGCTGCTCTAGCACCTGCCGCAAAGTAAATATATGGTCTATACAGCCACGTCCTGGGCGAAAACCGGCCTGCTCTTCTCTAATCCGAGATTCCCGTTCTGCAGTGAGGCGACGAACGATAATCGAGGCCAGTAATTTTGTCACAACTGGCGTTAGGCTAATACCCCTGTGGTTCGCACAGTCTGTGCGACTGCCCTTCTTGTATATTGCCACTATAATCGATTCGCTCCAATTAGTCGGCACACTCTCTTCGTTCCAGATACGTTCGAATAGGGAGGTCAGTGCTTTGCAGAGGACCTCACCTCCATCCTTAAATAGTGCAGGTGGGAGGGAATCCGGGCCAGCGGCACGAAAACGATTGAGGGCTGTGATCGCGTTTCGGACCTCGGCCTCCGACGGAGGCTCTAAACTAACCGTCCATGGCTCGTCCTGCATCACCTGAGTAGGAAGAGGTCCGGGAGCAGGGGGCCAGCTGAACTGATGTTCAAAGTGCTCAGCCCAACGAGCCATACGGCGCTCCTTATTATGTATCAGCGCACCCGCGCTGTCCCTGATTGTCTCACTGACGCCTGGTTTTCTCGGACCAGTGGTGCGTATTAGCTGGAAGAGCTTCCGGTAATTGCCTACTGCTCCTGCCTCCTCCATTTCTTGAGCCCGACTGGTCCACCAGGTTTCCTTGTCAGCACGTAGGCTCCGCTTTAGTTCACGCCTAATAGCCCGTCTGGTCACATTGTGTTCAGAACCAGCCGGGAGGTGCCTTCTAGCATCCAAAAGGTTCACGGACCTCTCGGATATCCAGTGACTGGTGCGATGACGACTGATAGTGCCACAAGCAGATGCTCCTGCGTCGTGCATAGTGGCCGAGATCCTATTCCACTGAAGCTCAGTGTCATTAGGACAAGACAGCGAGAGTTCGCTATGCAGTGCTTCTTGATAGGCTTGCCTGACAGAGGGCTGGGACAATTTCTCCGTTGCCAATCGGGGGAGACGCTTTGTGCGCCTTCCGGTAAAGTTCATGGAGAAACGACAGCGCACCAAGGCATGGTCAGAGTCGACACAGGTACTCCAGTACGAGCGGCAATCCAGAATGGAACCGCGCCACCTGTAACTTATGGCTATGTGGTCAATTTGGGTCCATCGCTGACCAGCTACAGGTGGACGCCAAGTGGCACTTCGGCGCCCACTGTGTCTAAAAGCAGTGCTAGTAAGAAACAACTGGTGCTCCGCACACAGTTGCAGCAGACGCTCACCGTTGTCAGTCCGTTCGGCGTTAAGTCCATAATTACCACCCAGCTGAGCTTCTGAAGAGCTCAGACGCCCTACTTGTGCGTTCATATCCCCTGCAAGTACTATAATATCTGAACTAGTAGCACTGCGTAGCAGCGTGTTCAGTTCGTGATAGAAAGTGTCCTTGACTGCATTAGAACTGCAGTCCGTGGGAGCATAAGCAGAAATCACAAACAAACAGCGTTTTGTTTTACTTCGCGAATTCACCTTAGCTGATGTCGTCAAACGGGCTGCACATAAACGGCTGTTCACCGGAATCCAATCAACCAGCGATGACTCAGCCTTGGAGCTGAGAATGATACCTACACCAGCTTGACCCGTGAGTGCCGCATCGGCGTCTCCGGATGCGTGCAACCAATAACGAGAGGATAAGCCGGGTGCAGTCAATTCAATAACCCCGTTAGGGTCATTAATCCTAGTTTCGGACACACAACACACATCAACACCCAGTGTGTCCAAGGTGCGTGCGAGTGCAGCCTGCTGACCTGTTTGTCTTAGAGTGCGGACGTTGAATGTCGCCATAGAAACGGGACAGCGTGGCCTTATAAGGGACTTTTGCCGATAGGCGTCCGATAGATGCTGTGGGATGGTGGCTGCAGATGGTTCTACTCCAGTAGCACTTCGGTTGCTGTCAATTAAGCTGGGAATTATAGAAGGAAAGTTAGTAATGGGGGCCGGGATGGGAGTAAGAGAAAAAGGTGGAAAAGAAAGAAGGGAGGCGCCAGCAGTAGCATGCTTTCGCTTATCCGCCCTGCTGTATGCAGCAGATAAGGCGACCCTTGATAATCTGCGCGACGGCCGATGCAGGATGAAGTTTATGTTTACATCTATTATCATTAGTGCCTTAGCTACGCATTCTTTCGTACTACAATTCTAATTATTGTTTTGTTGATCGGTTCTTTTAGCTTTATTCACGTGACATGTACAGCGGAGACTCCTAGTGCAGGCCGCGTGGGCATTGATTGGTTGACTGTGATGTGATTCCTGCGTATTGATTTGGCTCTCCTCGATTTCAAATCGATCCTGCGAACTCTATCCTGCTTCAACGACGCATAAAAGTAGGAACACATATGGGAATTTCCTAGCTCCCGTCCAAATCGAACTTGAAGTTGGGGACCAAAAGAGGATGAACACGTTTGGCTAGATACACTTGCTGAGATGGCTGGGGGTGGACCTCAGTGGCGTTCCTGCTAAGAGATTCTTTGTCCCTCCCCATCCCTTTTAGCCTCCCCCTTCAACCACGACCTCATTTTGTAGTGTAATATAATTTTACGTAATAATTGTTCCTGTTGCCTAGTAGCCGGCTGGTAGCTTACCGGAACGATGCCAACTCGTTACTGGTAGCTCGGCTGGCATGTGATTGTTGCATTTATTTTCTTTTTTATGTATTGGGGCACAGTAACTGAGGTGTTTCCCACTTCTAGCTAACGTGTATAATGATGACGATGAACTTAGGAGATGACGGTACTACAATATGAATGGAATGCTTGAATGCTAGTCAAGGGAAGACAAAAAGAGCAACAACTTCATTGTCTTGAAAGCGAAGGCAGTGTGAAAGCATCCTAACGCAAATGAAGCTAGAACAATCCAGTGTCAGAGAAAGGGTTGGATTAGGTCAACAAAAACAAATTCCGCGTTACATGTGTATTTTATCAACGCTTAACAGCATAAATTCGCCTAGGGTAGGCACGAGCCTTTCGCAGTGTACGTTCTGAATGGATAGATCGCTCTTTCTTCGTAAGACGCCTTCGAATGGCACGCGTTTTCTTAGGCCGCAAATCTTTCGGGACGTATTTTTTCGGACGAAAAGCCTCCCTTTGGCGTAGTTTTTGAGCTTGGTGTATGACGGTATAGACGCGTGCGATCGATTTGCGTAGCAATCGGCTGGAAATGCTGGTTAAAATACTATACAAGCCTACATTTTCTTCAGTTTACCATGATAAGTTGCACCTCGGGCAACACGATACAACCGCAAACTGCCCAATTCAGTTTTTAATTCACCCAACTGTTTTTGAAGTTCGGATTCTGGCTTGCCACGTAACTTAGAAGCGCGGACCTTGTTCTGCAAGAGGTAAATAACTGCACACTTACCATCGTAGCGTCTGGCCGCTCACGAAGAGTATGCGAGTCAAGTTCAGGCGTGAGTACTGCAGTACAAATCTGATATTGCAACCTTAAATTCGGCTGTTACTTTTCGATGATATACCGTCCTACATTAGGAAATTTATAATTGTCTGAAAATAACACTATATTTTAGCACACAAGCTTAAAAGCTTTAATTTATCGTCACCGCTGTTAACAAATTATAATTCTGAAAGGATTCTATTAAAACTAAGCACAGTTCCATTGCTTGTTAGCACTATACACGTGTTATTGATACCCATTGTCTAGTGAATACATTGCGTTGTAAGGAACATGGGTAACACTATTAATTCAAGCTCAAGTTCAACATCAGTTTGGACCGGAACGTTTATTTAATCCCGTGAATGTTCCTTCATTGCGTATCGTCGAATGGGGAATGGACAGTTCAGCTAGATATGTTGAAAAGCCTGAAAAAAGACCGCACCACACCCTGTCCAATTAATTATTGTCCACTTGTAGCGACCTGGAGATTCCCCCGTATGACTGTGTAAACTATTCTAAAATATTCAAATTATAGCTTTCTTATGTATTAGGGAATCATTCGGTTTGCCTGTTGGAACGTTGTTCCCGTTTGTTGAAAACACGAACGCCATCTTGGCCTTTGGCGCGCGCGACTCGATTGCGAACGACGCTCTGTCAACGCACTCGACGCCGTCGACATTCTCCCTAGCTAGCTCTCTCCGGGTGCCCTATTTTTAGCATTAGCTAACGCTCCTCCCGTCCAATAAACTTTTCCCTAGCTTACTGTTGTGTCTTCCATCCATTATTTTTGGTTGGCCGTCTAGTCGCGTACCGGATATATAGCGCACGATCTACGCGCTATACACTTTTTACTGCTCAGCCGTCCCTGGCAGGCCAGTTTATGTGAAGTTAAAGAGTGAAGCGTAAGCTAAGAAAACAAGGAGAAGAAGGTGTTGGGCGGAACCTGGGATACTAGTCGGTAAGCAATGACACGTAAGAAGTGTCAAATACGACAGTATAGAAGTCAGAGGAGACTGAACCCAACGTGTATTGTGCAGGCTACAAGAATAGGAAGCGAATCAGACAGAGCGAGAAACGTGCAGCGAGATACTCACCAAAACGGTTTGTGACAACGGATGTGCAGTCAGTTAAACAAATGGAGGTTTCGAAGGTTAAAACAACCATAAAATCCAATGTTATAAGATACTGAAAGAGCATGTTTTCAGTTGCACTACAAGGGCCTCCCCCTAGAAGGCTGAAGGATGGAAGCCTTCGATGGAGCTGTTAGTGGGGGGAACGGAAGGTGAGGGTGGATGCGAATGTTTGCAGGGGCTTGAGAAGGGCTTCCAAAGTGGGGTGTAGCAGATTTCGCTGGGTCCAGGCTTTTGTTAGTTTTATTTATGACGATCGTGTGGACCAGAGTGCATCATCGGTGGGCCGTCGGGGCGGGCTGGTCGGACTGCAAAAAAACTGGCTAGTCCAGAAAAAAGGCCGACAGGACCTTCCCATTGCTGCAGACCCGACGGTGCGCTTGGGAGGTGTCACTCCCCCCACCGCACTTTAGTCCACGGTCCTCGTCCCACGAAGAAATGCAGGCATCCTCGTCCCTCGGAGAAATCCGGCCGTCCTCGTCCCACGAAGAAATGCAGGCGTCCTCGTCGGCAATGCCTAGGCGGCGTTTAGGGACCAATCCGTTCGTGGGTGTCTGCGGTCGAGGGCGACTGTCTGTTCCTTGGATGAGGAAGGGGGCTTTGGGACGGCTGGCGAGTCACACCAGGGTTGCGTTGAGCCGGTTGGCGAATCACTCGAGGGTTGCCTGGGCAGTTCCGGCGGTTGAGTTTCTGGAAAGTAAAACTCAGAGGGGGTTGGCAAGGGTCTGGGAAGTGGCTTGACGCCGGAGAGGGAACATGGCATGTATGATAAAAGCAAATACGCTTTTTAGGTTTTCAAAATGTTTTGGGTTTTTTGTCGATTTTGCAAAACGTTTGTGGGTGAGACGCAGGATAACCATTAAAGACGAAAAAGGCGTGTTAATGGAAATAGCAAACGCTTACAAAATCGGAAAAACGGACCGGACGTTTGACCTGTCTACCGCGTCGGTCGGTTGCCTGGGGTTGCGGCGGGATAGGTTGCGGGTCAAGGGGTACGGAGGGATCCGGGTTATCCAGTGCTCGGGAAGTCACCACAGGTGCGGGTGCTTGTGCGAGAGCATCAGGATGGGCTGCAAGTGGCTCGTCAAAGAAAGCCACTTTGAGTCGGTCGATGGACACCGTTGTTCGGTGACCATTCTGGTCTATAGTAAAATGTTTCGGAGTCCGTTGCAGAACTCTGAAAGGGCCAGTGTAGGGAGGCTGGAGAGGGCGCCGCACTGCGTCGGTGCGGAGGAAGACGTGAGTGCAGGTAGAGAGTCCGCTGTGCATTTGCACATCTCTAGTCTGTTCACGGGGCGGGGTCGGGCGTAGTGAACGCATGCGTTGAGCCAGCGAGGACGCAAAGTTAGGCGGAGGCATACCCGACGATGCGGGAGGTGAAACGAATTCTCCTGGTAACTTGAGCGTCGTGCCGTAAACCAGCTCTGCTGGTGCACATTGCAAGTCAGCTTTGATGCTGCTGCGAATGCCTAAGAGTACGAGCGAAATGTTTTCGCTCCAGCTAGGGTCGGAGGAGGCGCAGAGCGAGGCTTTAAGCTGTCTATGGAAACGTTCAACTAACCCGTTGGCTGCTGGGTGATACGCTGTGGTATGGATGCGGCGACAACCTAAGAAGTTGCAGAACGTATCGAATTGTGAAGATTCGAAAGGCGTTCCTCGGTCAGTTGTGATCGTGGATGGGCATCCGTAGTGCGATACCCACCGATCTAAGAAGGCCCGGATAACAGTCTCAGCTGTGCAGTCTGTTACGGGAATGGCTTCTGGCCATCTGGTGAAGCGTTCGACACATGTAGGCATGTATACGAATCCGCGCGACGGAGGCAATGGGCCTACCAAGTCTAAGTGTACATGCGAGAACCGAGAGTCTGGGGCAGGAAATGAACCAAGAGGACTGCGGGTGTGACGATGTACTTTAGAGCGCTGGCATTGAAGGCAGGCGCGAGCCCAGGTACGGACATCTTTGTTTACGCGTGGCCAAACGAAACGTTCGGGGACCAGTTTCAAAGATGCATGGATACCGGGATGTGACAGCGAGTGTAGTGCGTCAAAGACTGTGCGTCTGAAGGAGACGGGCACGAGAGGTCTAGGACAACCTGTGAACGTGTCACAGAGGATAGTTCCTTCCGTGATTTGAAGAGGAACAGGTTGCACATGCAGCGAAGTGGACTGCAGAGTGCGCTGTATATCTTCGTCTTGAGCCTGAGCCGATGCCATTGCGGCAAGGTCGACGGTAGGCAAAGACTGCAGGGTGAGGTTGACGCGTGAGAGGGCGTCGGCGACGGGATTGTCGACACCTGAGACATGACGTATGTCAGCAGTGAACTGCGTGACAAAGTCTAGGTGTCTTGTTTCCAGTGGTGAGTATTTGTCGCTAGCAGAGTTAAAGGCAAAGATAAGAGGCTTGTGGTCAGTGTAGAGCGTGAAAGCGCGGCCTTCGAGTGTGTACCGGAAGTGACGTGTTGCTAGGTAAATGGCCAGCAGTTCTCTGCCAAACGTGCTGTAGCGGGATTCCGCTGGCTGCATGCGCTTGGAGAAGAACCCAAGGGGTTGCCAGCGCCTACCAACGTGTTGTTGAAGGACGGCTCCTACCGCGACGTCTGAGGCATCAGTCGTACTAGAAAGAGGTGCAGTCGATTCAGAATGAGCGAGGAGGGCCACGTTGGAGATAGCATCCTTGAGCTCGGCGAAGGCTGCCTGTGCTGTGTCAGGGAAAGCGAACTTACGTTCATTTCCTCTGAGTAGGTCAGTCAGTGGCTGCATGAGCTGAGCGCAGCGCGGAATGAAGCGTCGATAGTAGTTGACCAAACCACCAAATCGACGGAGGTGCTTGAAGGAAGTCGGAGCTGGGAAGTCCTTGATTGCCTGGATCTTATCAGGAAGGACTTCGATACCAGACGATGAAACGAGGTGGCCTAGGAATTCTAACGTTGATTTGCCGAGTTCGCACTTAGTAGGGTTGACGGTGACACCGTGTTGGGTCAAGCGCTGGAAGAAAGCTCGAAGATGCTCGAGGTGCTCTTGTTCCGATGAACTGGCTACTAAGATATCATCGTGGTAGGCATATGCAAAGTTTAGGCCACGAGTGACATCGTGGATAACGTTTGTGTGGCGTTGCACTGTCCAAATGGCATCCTTAAAAATTCAAACAAACCGAAAGGGGTGATAACGGCTGTTTTGGGAATATCATTGTCTTCCACAGGTATCTGGTGATACGCGCGAACCAGATCGATCTTGCTGAAGATCGTCTTACCTGTGAGGCATGCGGTAAGGTCCTGCATGTGTGGGATGGGATACCTATCTGGGACGGTTAGGCGATTGAGTGCGCGGTAATCACTGCAAGGGCGCCAGTCACCAGATTTCTTGGGGACCATCTGCAGGGGCGAGGACCAAGGGCTGTCGGAAGGACGGATTATTTCAAGTTCAGGCATGTGCCCAAACTCCGCCCTAGCTACCTTTAGTTTCTCAGGCGATAGTCGGCGCGGACGGCATGACACAGGTGGGCCATTCGTCCGTATGTGGTGCGTGACTTGAGCTGCCACGGGCAAAGCTGCGTTCATTGGCTGCACGAGCTTGGAATACTGAGAAAGGAGATTAGCGTAGGCTGACAAGGTCTGGGGAAATGCATAGACCGGGGATATAGATGTCACATCGGCGGTGCTGTCACGTACGCTGAGTTTTGTTGCAGTGTCGACTAGCATCTGGCGTTTCGCATCGACCAAGAGGTCGAAGTGCATGAGAAAGTCAATGCCGAGGATGGCAAAGGGGACTGCGGCGACAGTGAATACCCAGCGGAACGTGCGCCGAAGACCTAGGTCCAGGGTAAGTAACCGATGACCATAGGTGGCTATTGGTGTGCCATTGGCGGTACTGAGGTTTGTCGACAGAGAAACGGTATGCTCACCTGGCATAGGGGGAATGACGCTGACTTCCGCCCCGGTATCAACCAAGAA